CTGGAGATTGAGTTTTATCACTACTGGTCACGGTTTTGTAAATCCTACCTACATAATGAAGCTTCCAGAAAAATCTCTGGAACAGTGGTGCTCAGGGAAACCTCTGGTGGGAACACGCTGACCTGCTGGGAGGACAGCATGTTGTTACCAGCGTGCTGTCATCACACGGTAGATCTGGCAGATCCAAGTTCTTATGTGCGGCCAGCAGTGGATTGCAAAGCATCCGCTCAATGGCTGGAGAAAAACAGCTATATTTGTTGAAAGTCAGGTACAGAGAAATGGATGACAAAAAAGGAACACTGCATACTGCGCTGATAAACAAGCTCTTGGGCTGAAGAGTGAGAGGGGAGATACAGAGCTTGGAAGTGCTTTGGTCTGGGGTTATATAGAATGCTCCTAGAGTGGCCTAGGCACTCAAGTGAGTAGAAGGGAGTGATACGGGAGAGATAGCCTTAGAGTGGTGCTTGAGCTCAACTAGGTGGAGGGGAGTGCATTCCTTACCCCCAGTATCCTATCTGTACTATCCTATCTTCCATGTATCCTATCTTCCATGTCGGATGGCATGGAAGCTCCGAGGCTCTACTCGGCCTTGCTTTGCTCTGTAGAGCACTTCCATTTGGCTCTCCCCTGTTACAGCATTCACAATAAAAGGGTAACAGAAAGTAGAGAGCTTGCCTGAGTTCTGTGCATCATCCAATAAAGTTACGGAATGTGGGGGTGGATGCGGTAGTAACCCCCATGTCTGTGGTAGGATGTACAGAAGCAAAGGTAGCCTGAAGACCCTTTCCACAGGTGGCTCCTAAAATGACAGCATCCTCTTGAACCATGTCCTTAACTTTTAGGGCAAGTTAGTCATGTCTAAACTGAACTGAAGTGTTGGCCATCTGGCTGGTGTTAGCAAATCAGAGAATGGGTTGATATTGGAAGGATGTGGCTGGGGCCAGAAGAGTGACCAAAACCATGCAAATTTCTGTTCTCAGAGGATATTGATACCCTAGTGAGCTTGGTGGGGTTATTTGGCCCTGTGCTGCATACCACCCAATCTCCCTTTCACCTACTCACCCTGCTCTTCAAGGACCAGCCCTTGAACATCACACCAGTGAGCACCATGCTTTTGTTTCTGGTTGGGTGTAGTCAGTGGGATTTCCTTGGCAGGAAACTAAACAGAAGGAAGAGACCAAGGGCAGGGACTGAATCCCTGTTTTCCCTCCTTGCAACGCCACCTTTCACTGTCTCTTCTCAAGGCAGTGTTTCTCAGAATGGCTTCCTCCTTCCCTATCCTGGGAACACCTCCTTCTCCTTGTCTGCTTGCACAAGGGGTGGTAAAAGTGTCTCAGCTTCCAAACCTGGGTTAAATCCTATAGAGTCTTGTATACACATGTGTAGGAAAAAGTTCCATAGTAAATAAATCTTACTTGTATTACTCTAATATGAGTGTTCCATCTCACTGGGACCCCGACTAAGGTGAGCCCTGAGCATTTGAATGGTGGATTTATGTTTTCTAAGTGTATTGATCATATTTCAGTATAGTTACTACTAGGCCAACTGTTCAGCTGCTTATAAGAAGGTCGCTCTGGGCTACTGGGACAAAATCGTATCCTAAAATGGGATGCTTATTTTCCTATTTGCTTTGGCAGAGAAATATACATTCAGTGAGATAGAGAAGAGGAACAGGAACATCAGTCCTGTTTTATAGCATTTAGAATTGGACTTTCAGTTGCCAAAACAGCTCCTTTATCCATTATGTGTGTGGCATTAATTTCATATCCTAGGCTTTGAAGATGCATTAATGGTCCGTTTTATGCCAGAGTGATACCTGCTGGTGAGAGGTCGGCACACACTGTAGAAAGTCCTAGTTGTTTTATTGGTGATATAGAGCAGGACAGCAGTAATCTGAAGTTTAATAGTTGTCCCTGAAAGATGTTTTGTTTTATGATAAACATTCTAGTTGCAGAGAGACCAGAAATAGACTTTGGAGAGAGTACAAAATGTGTTTTTATTGTTTACTTTCTAGTATGCCATGGAAGGCTACATCATAAAATTTATATTTGTTACTGATCATCCCAGCCCCACCCTAGCACTTCCAATCAGAATCTATAGTAGGACAGTTTTTACACATGACATGTGAAAGGATGTGACCTTACAAACTTGCCTCTTTCTTTTGCTTTCTAAAGTCACTACTGATGTACAAATGAGGGTGGTCAGATGAGATAATCAAAGTTGGTTTCCACCTGTCCACTATCTATTGATGCATAGATAAGAGGGAAGGCTTTTCTCAGAAGATAGTGATGTTTGCATCTCAGGAGAACTGGCAAGAGGCTACCTTCCTCCTCGATCATTAACCTTCACAGACTGAAGTGATTTCAAAGGCTGTCTACCTCCAAAGTTGATGAAGAGACAGAGGTGCCAAGACACTAGAGACTTGCCCAGAAACACAGCAGTGTTGGTTTGTCAGGGCTGCTGCAGCAAAGTCCTAGGAACTCTGGGACTTCCACAAGAGATGTTGGCTGTCTCACAGTTCTAGAGGCTGAAAGTCCAAAGTGATGGCAACGGCAGGTCTGGATTCTCCTCAGATAAAACTCTGTTGCATGGCTCACCCTCTGGCTAGTCGGTAGCTATCTCCTCCCTTTGTGGGTTCCCATGATTTTCCTTGAAGCGATATTTATATCCAAATTTTCTCCTCTTATAAGTAGACCAGTCCTACTGGACTAGGGATACCCTATTCATCTCATGTTAACTCAATTAACTCTTTTCTAGAGACCTTCTCTATAAACAAAGTCACATTCTGAGAGAGTAATAGATAGGATCTCTATGGGGAGAAAAATTCAACTCATAACACCAGTTATGTAAAGACTGAATAGGATTTGGCTTCTCTGACCACCACTGTTCGTTTTCTCCTATCATGTTACTTGCAATTTTCCTACTTCCCTTCACTGTACGGAGGGCCATTCTTTTCTCACTGGAGCTGCATAGAAGAGTGTGTGATTGCAATCTAGACTTTTCTCAAATACTTCAAAGAATTCAGGTAGGGAAACATAAGACCGGAGAACATATTAGGTACTTATTAAGGTAGCTTGAAACTATCTATCTGGAGAGTAATAAGGCTGCTAGGGAGTACGTCTGTATTTCCAGATTACCTGTGTGTGAGGCTCTGGCAGAGCGTTGCCAATCAAGGCATTTAATTCTAAAATGCTCCATCAGTTAGAGATGCTTAAAGCATATAAAGCTTAGGAAAATCCAAATTGTGACATATACCTTGGGGATATGTTTGTATATTTGGTAGGAAGGATATTTTTGTTATGGTATAGCAAACAGCCTTTGGGGGCAGATAGAGCTAAACAAGCCAAAACCATTTTAGTTCATGTACCAGGTCATCAAGGTCCATGTGGCTTGGTCACCTTCACCTGAATCCAAATTGCTTTGATTAAAAGTTGGGTGGAAGAAAAATAGAGTGTTAAGTTCTCCAGTGGTGGCTCCACTCTTCCGACTCTCACGTGGCCTTGTGTGCTTGCTTTGAAGGAGGGTGGCCTGACAGTGAGAAAAATGACACGGTCAGTCCACAAACACAATGCAAAGCCTTCTAAGCACAACATGTTTCTGTCCGGGATGGCACCTGTGACGCAGAACTCAGAAGCCATGCGCTAAGGGGCTGTGCCCTCCAGTATTCATTAAGGAGCACCTAGGTGGTCCATAACCCGTATCACAGAATGTTTCTTGGTGCTCAAAAGAGATACGAAGTCAGTCTTGTAGTGCACGCATGCTGTCCTTCCCACTGACAGTTTTCCTGAAGCCTCTTTCTTTTGGATCATCATACCGTACGTGTGTGTCAAGGAATATGACTTCATGCTGCATTTTCTTTTGGACACTCATCCAGTGTCATGGACAGTGAAGGCTTCCCCGTGCCTGTTAGTGACAAAGCCATTTCACTATAACCAGGTGTTTCCAAAAGTTTTCTGATCATGGCACTCTTTGTTCATGTAAATGTGTGTGTGTGTGTTGCAAGTAGCATATTTTGATAAACCCTACCTGACATTTGCATATGCTTAGGAGAGATATGCAATGAAAATGAATTTAGATTAAGTGCATAGTTGATGAAGCAAGACCTACAGCCATCTGCACATGAGTGAGAATCCTTGTAATCTGTCACAGAATACTCCTTGTCGCTGCTAGCAGGGCTGGAGTCCTGAACTATGCCAGTCAAGACTTTCCTCCTGTCCTGGTGGTTTCTAAATGTGGGGGTGCAGAAGATGGTGTTTATTTGACCTGGATAATTAAGTGGCTTCAAAACAAAACAAAGGCTCTGCGCTAGCAATCAGAAGGCATAGCGTGCCTTTGGCTCTTCATAAAGTTTTGTGCTGTGACCTTCAGCAATTGCACTGCCCAGCTTGTCAGTTTGGGTGCTCCTGCACACCCCATTCCTTGTCAAATACTGACTTTAGCACCCACGAAGGCCTCTCTGTATCTGAGACCTCAGGAAACTGTCTGAAGGTGGAAAGGATGGAGAGCATGTTGTCAGGCTGATGACATAATGTCTACACTGTTCGGGTCACCTCACAGGAGCAGAGTGCGTGGGCCACCTCCGGATGGAGGTGCGAATGTCACCACCATGCTGTAGAAAGTGTGTGGCCCACCCTGACCAGGCTGAGCAGTGAGTTGCTAGGGAGGTGCTCTTGTGGTGAAGAGTCTCTGTTTTTAAATGACAGAAACTACTTTGAGCTGGCTTTTTTTAATTCATTTTTTATTTTTTTATTTTTTGAGTTGGCTAATGCAGGAAGGCTACATTTTGGGGAAGATTCTTCAGTACAAGGTGGAGTTTAAAGAATTTAAACATCCAAGCCTTGAGAAGGTTCAGAAACATGAACCTTCTTAGTTCTTAAAAAATAGATTTCTATAAGCCCAGCTTTGTATCAAATGTCCATTCTACACCATTAAACTATGACATAACTGACAGTTACCTTTCTCATCTTTCTTGTTAATATCCTGATTTTTTTTTTTTCCAGGAGAGTATGGCAACAGCTTGGCCTCATGGGAAACAGATCCTTCTCTAGTTGCAGGAGATGAATCGTAAGTCCGGCTCAGCCATAGTGAGCCCGTTTCCCTTTGTCGGTCATTGCCCACGTGATGTTTCTCTTTCAGAAGCTGGCTGGATATATTCTGGGAATGCTTTTATTTTCCTTATTGAAAAAAATAAAACAGCAATAGATTAAGCCAATGCCTTTTTCTTCCTGTGCTTTTGCTTCTCTTCTTGGGAATGCAGCTACGACACCCAGTGGTGCGGCAGCTATCTTGTGATCATAACATGACAGGTGTAAGCTGAAAGCTGAATGCTAGGACTGGAATTCGCAAAGGTGGAAGAGCTAAGTTCCTCAATGGCCAAACAATGGAATGCAGCGGCCCCTCCTCATCTGCTGTTATCAGAGGAAAATGAGAATCTACTTGTTCCAATTGCAGTATACTTTAATAGATTGTCAGCATTGCTTTTACTTATTAAAAAAAAAAAAAAAAAAAAGTATTCCCAAGTGTAACACATGAGTACCAGGAGCCAATGTCTATGAAGCAGAGTGAACCTCACTCTTCAGTGGAAGAGAAGAGGAGGAAATGGCTTGTGAAACGGGGACGTACTCATAAGTGTGCACCAAAGCCACCCAGGAGCGCTGCAATCCCACCACTGCTGCAGAGCAGAGAGGCTACCAGCACCTACCAGTCTGAGTCAGGATTAATTAACTAACTAATTCTACTGACTTTTACTGATCCCTCATTATCTGCCGGATATTTGCTTAGGTGCTGAGGATAGATTAGTGAAGACAAAGATATTGGCTCTCATTAAACAAACCCTCTTTCAGGGAAAATGGGCAATGAAAATAAAAGGAGCAGGATCACTTTAGATAGTGAGAGCTGTATAAAATCACAGTGCGGGGTGTTGTGTTAGATTGTTGAGAAGGCCGTGTACAAGGCTTAAGAAAATGGTATTTGAAATGAGACTCTAATTGCAAAAAAAAAAAAAAAAAAAAAAAAGCCAGTTGAGCAAGATCCCAGGGCCAAACTGCTCAGGAGGGGGTGGCCAGTGCAGGGACCCCAAACAGGTGAGTGGGCATGGCCTGCTGGAGATGCAGAATGACTCATTGAGGGTGCCACACTGCTTGGTGATTAGGAAAGCCACCCCTGCTTATCTCACTGTCCCCGGCTCAGTTCATCAGCCTCAGGATCTGTCTTGAGGCTGCTGCCTGAGCTGTGTTTTGTGGAGTGTGAATTTCCCTATCATCTGTTGCAGGCTGTCAGAGACCAGAAAAAGGGATTTGCTGGAGCGGTAGACTCTCAGACCAAAGTGACTGATCGTGTCTGTCTTTTCTCATTAAGAACGGATCCGTCACCCCCTGCCACGGCTCCATAGAGGTCTGTCTTTCACCTGAGCTGCCAGACCTGGCTTCCCTTGGAATGGGCTCAGCCCTGCTCCGGAGGGGCTGACTGCGCATTCAGCTGGCACACAGCTGCTTCTAGGCCACACTGCAGCCACCCCCTCCTCGCAGCTGCCAGCCTGGGATCTGTCTCCTGCTGAGAGCCACAGGTGCAGAGACAAGTACAGGGAGGCAGAGTGCCTGTGAGGGCCCTTGCTGGGGTTCCCGGCCTGCAGTGGGTCAGAGCCTGCTGGGCTGGTCACATCCCACACCATTTTCAAGTGATACTTATCAGTGAAGCAGCCACATGTGGTCACGGGGGCAGAACCTTTCTCAAAAGTCATCCTGTCTTACATTCTTCAAGGGTCGGGCCTTGCCCAGAATACTAGTGTTAGGATGCTACCACCCCCAGTTCTAGCAGAGCAACTACAAAACTGGCTCTCCACTCTGCTATGATAGGAAATTTAGTTTTCTGTTCTCTAACACTTGAACTTGGCAGTAGTTGGAAACTATAATTGTATCTTGGGAAGTTAGATGCCCTGTGTGATTGGTGGGGCTTTAGGGCTATGATTGCCCTTAGGGAGGGTAAGGTTGCCCAGAAGTGCCCAGCCTACCACTTCAAAACCTTGGATTCAGGCCTCCTGGGCTGAGAAAAAAGTTAGAAACAGTGAGCTGACCAAGGTTATGATTATACTACAAAAGAAGGCTTTCTGGGACTGGGTCTTTCATAAAGGTTTATAGCATTATATTGTGATGCACTCTTTGACATATGGAACAATTTTTTAAAAAATCCCTCATGTAGGGCCTGACAGACAGCTTAGTGCATTAAAGCACCTGTTTAGGCAGACTCAGGGACCAAGGTTTGATCCCTAGCATGCTGTGCTGGCCCCGCCCCTGGAGAATGCTGAGACAGTAACTGGGATTGGGTGTGGTGGCACACACCTATAATCCCAGTGCTTGGGAGGCTGAAAACAGGAAGATCACTATGAGTCCAATCTGTGTAATGAGACCCTATAGACCCTGTACTAAATACGTAAAAAAATAAATAAATAAAATCCCTCACGTATGCAGTATGTCCCAGAATTCTTTGTGCCTCTGTCAGAGTTGAGACTCATTGTCCTAGGTGCAATAGTAGGCATTCTTTTTCTCTTTTCAAATAAAAACAAGGGCAAGAAGGTTCAGTTCATTCAGTAAGTGGCAATACTGGACCTCAGTTTAAGTTTCTTGGGTTTCATGCAAGTCTGTCTTCATTTTTATATTCCGGGGGTTGATGACAGCAAAAATTAAACATAATTTAGGTAGAGTCTGAAAAGCCTCTGCTCCAGTCATGAAGGAGGTTTTATTTTGAGTTCTTAGGCATTCTAAACAAAAGGTTCTGATTTTTAGCGACACACCCTCACCATCCCTGGTAAGAGTACTTCCTTCTAGATCCTTCTGCATGTACTTTTCTCTTAATTCCAGAGTCTGATCTCCCAGCTCTGCAGTCCATCCTCTTAGCTTACCCACCAGGAGATTGTCATTAACTGTCTAGTCTAAAACAAGGAACAGAAGTGAACACTCTGACATAGCTTGAGGAGTACCAGTGTCCCTTGAAGGAGCCAGTGATAAAACCACTGTCTTGGAAGTTTCCAGAATATCATAAATTTTTCTGTATTAGGCTTTTCCAGTCACAGCCGAAGTATCATTTGTCCTAAGGTAGATTAGAATAAAAAGGTTAATAAGACCCAGTTGTTTGATTATATGTTTATGACTAAAGGATATAAAATGCCACTCTTCCAAGCTACCCTCATCATCTAAAATAACCCCTGTGCTTGTTATGTGTTTGCTCAGCAATGTTCCAGTTTAAATTGATTGCTTTCTACTTCCTCAGTCAAAGCGGGCTCTCTCTCCTCTCCTCCCCTCTCTGCTCTCCTCACTTCTCTCTCTCTCTGTTTTTCTTTTCTTCATACCTGGATTATCTCTCTACTGACCTTCAGTAGGTTCACACTTTGTTGTGGTGCTCAGCAGAGCCCAGTGTCAGAGTGTGAAGTAGCAGCTCAGCAGTCGCAAAGCAAACATGTTCTGTGAACAGATGTGGCCTTGATGGAATATGGGGAACCGTCTCTTTCGGGTGAAAATAAACATACTAAGATTAGGACCCAACATAAGGACAATCCTTCAATTTTCAAACAGATCATGAACTGGGAGGTGTGTAGGAAGACTGAACTCGGAATCAATAAGTACCCTGCTCTGGTGGGCTTAGTCTAGAACACTCAAGTGATCAGTTACTCAGCTTCATGTTGGTGTCTACAGCTTTATAGAATATTTTAAAACAATAGCAAAAATTAGAACAAAATAGCAAAACCCTGTGTGTCACATCCAGTTTGAGGCAACTCCAACATTTTGATAGGTTGACTTCATATGTACTTGAAGTTCTTTGCAGACTTTTCTTTAATCCCATCCCCCTCCTTCCACCCTAGAGACAAAGGCTATCTTGAGTTTGCCTGCTTTCACACTGGGTGTGCACTTCTATCTCTTATTATACAATCCATTTTTTGCATATTTTAAATTTAAATAATTGAAAGCACACTGTATATTATTCTGCATTTGCCATTTTTGAATTTCACATTCTATTTCAACAACTGAGCTTTGGGTTCACTCACTTAAACTACTCTTGATATGTTCAATGGAGAAACTGTGATATGCTTCTCCATCCTCCAGTTGATGAACGCTTAGATTGCTAGTGATCCTGCACTATCATAAACAAGGCTTCTTATGCATTTCCTTCCTAGCATACAAAAGTATCTCCAGGATAAGATTTTTCTTAAGATATTTTGTCTGTACTCACAGTTCAAGGTACACTTTACACTGGAACCCAATACATATATGTGCTGCATTTGTGTGAATGTATGTATATATGAGAATGTGGGTTTCTCAGAACAAAATGGTACTTGCAGTGACTGAAGTGATACCACAACCCAGGGATGCTTCTCCACAGACAGCCTGAAGAACATCAATCTGGGATTCCCACCCAGGCATGGACCTGTTGGGCCATAAATTGTCCCCATTGTTTTCACACTGATGAGTTTGTGAGTTCATTTTATTAAATCATTTAAGTGGATATTTACATTTGGCTAGCACGCTATGTATTTGGGGGAGAAATGGAAATCCTATCTTAAGCTTTCTGGGCTTCAGGTTGTCACGGGTCACAAGAAGACACACACACACACACACACACACACACACACCCCTTCAAGTATTTTTGAATTCTTCTTTCTGTACTTCCAGGATCCTGAAAAGAGTCTTGGGATCTGCTACAGTGTGTGTGTTCTGGACAAGGGGGTGGGACAGCAATTGAGTGGAAGAAGTCCTAAGCCGTTCACCCCATCTCTACCCAAGGAGCTCCATGTTAGTATTGATCCACTGTAGTTCCATGAGATTTAATTGTCAATAGGAATTGTACATCATGAAAATATTCATGAACTATCAGTTTAGTTGTTCTTCAAGGTTCTTTTCAGATGTACATTTGAATAGTGGGTCTCTGGACCATTTATAAATTGAAACTCAAATGAAAGCTTGAGTGTAGAGTGTAGGACTTTTTGGGGTGAGGCTGGTTAACCCACAAGAGAGTCAACCTGTTCTTCCTGTGCAAGAGAAGCTTGTTTGCTAGGTCACTTTTA